CACGGTGAAAAGCACGGTGAAAAGCACGGTGAAAAGCACGGTGAAAAGCACGGTGAAAAGTATAGAACGGACAGAAAGCAACGCATCTAACCCCTGGACAGCCAACATCAGGATCATACACCCCCCATCACGATGCAAAATCCACCTTGACGCGTGCTGCGGCATACTTTGATCCCATGGTGGATGGGCATCCACGGTTTCCTGAGAGCCTAGGGAAACAATCCCCATCACAATTTCCGTACCATGCCATCATTACCATAGGCAAACTTAGTAGCACCTTGGAGCGTAACTAACGCCTAAAGAATGCCCTCCAGACGCGAAGTTCCGCGGGATGCACTCTTTCAAGGAAAGCGGTGACGGTCTCAGGATCTAGGCGATTAAGAACCGTCTGGATTTCCGGTCCGTAGGTCCGCGCCAAGTGTTGAATATCTTCCAGATCAGTTCGTCTTGCGCGAGCAGCGAAGGCCGCCAATTTGCCTCGCAAGAGAAAGAGGAGCTCGATTGCGTAGATCGTTCGCGGTCCGGCCCTGGTGTTGAGCGACAGTTCCCTTCTGTTCACAGACAGATCTCTGGGGCTGTTTTGGTACCCTAAGTTTTACAGCTTGTCAGGTCGGCGCATACTGAAAATGAGATGTATAACAGGAAGGATCAGCATGTGTTGGATAGTCACAGACGTACCACTTTCTATGAGGTCAACCTCAATGGGTATGGCCTGCTGGCAGTTGTCATAACCTGGGCCGGTGCGGACAAATACCTTCATTATATTGCTGAGCAATCTGGTGTTCGGAATGATCAGACTAAATGCCCTTCTGTCAGTTGGAACAATCTAAAGGCTTTCATACACGCCGGACATACCGGGGCTCAGCCTCCACAAGTCTCCACATTTCCCGCATTTTTCCAGGTGCTTGAAAGGCCATGTCAACGTCTCGAGTGGCTCGTGTGCTGCCCATGTATGCGACTGCAAGCCCACCCATCAGTCCATAAGGGATTCCGGCTCGATCCAACAAGCCAGCCATGAAAAAAGCAGCGGATGCGAGATTGGAGGGGGGGATATCGGGGTACTTCTCCCTCTCCTCATCGGAGTCATAATTCACAAGATCATACGTCGAGGCCATGTCGTTTCCGGAGGCTCTGCTCTATCAGGGAATACGATAGACACTTTGGGCACAAATCTCCTGAAAGGATAAGAAAAAGATGTATGTGACACAAGAACAACCAGCAAGGGAATGCGAAGGTGCCTCGGGGTGCGTCAGGACGGTATAAAGTCCACAGAAGGAGAGCAGGCGATATAGAACAAGGTAAGACAGAAGAAAAAAAAAGGAAGGTTTAGTTCATTGATCGGGCAGTCTGCAAAGAAAGGAAGGCTTCGAATTTCAATGTGATATGTATGAGAAACGGTATGGTGTACCTGGAAGGGGCTTTGATGTTTCCGAGCAAAGACGATGCGATCTTGTCTGGACAAGTACAGAAGAGACTCGGTCCATGATGAAGCTAGGTCCTCTACTTATACCTTTCTCCCAGTAATGGATTTGTAGGGGAAGTGAGGCTTTCGACGAGGCTCAACCTGATCACACTCAAGGCAGCCCTTGACCCCCCCCCGCTGTTCAGACATCCGAGCGGTTAGAGAGGCTCCGAAAGCCCAATGTCTTCCAACAAACCAACAGTAGCACCGCCTCGGTCAATATCATTGGAAAGACCTTTATCAAGCGCGCAGGGTCAGCACAAGTCATACCCGAGCTGGAGGTTGAGCGTCAGTTGAAGAAGCCTAAGACTCACTCTCCTGGGTTGACTCTGAGCCAGTAGATGGTTGATGGGAGGCAAGGCTGATAACGCCAAGCGGATCCTGCTGCTATAATTGCTCGCAACTAGCCCCGTCGAACGGATGCAAGGTTGCGCATGATGATGGGCACGATGTGTTGGGGGAGTGGGGTACAATGGCGCGCGAAGACCAAAGTCATTGATTGAAACAAGCCGTGACTGCATGAGGCTGAGCTCAATATAGGACCTGGCTTCCTTTGCCGCCGGTCTAGAGGGTGAGGAGTTGGGTCGATGCATACATGGAGCGGAAGGGATTGAATGGAGAGACAAAGGAACGAACTATCCATAGCGTCCCCGTCTTGGAGTTCCAATGTGATGAATGTGGCGGGCAACAGGGGGTAGGGGAATGGGGATGGCGTGACAGGAAAACATCACTGGGCGTGCGTGGTTCAATTACTGACCTGATGAGCCGTATTTCTTAGCAATTGATCAACCCTCTCATCGCGCAAGATGCCAGTACGATACACCATAGCCACCGGGTTAACGCCGTATCCCTGTCCAGAAAGACGCCATCTCGGTGACTCAGAGTATAGTAGGAAGCGAGTCCAAGGCTCGGAGCCAATTGGTTCTGAGACCTCATAGATCTCCAGAGCGCCACGCGAAGGATTTCGCAACGAGGCATTTTCCCCACGGATACTATTTCCCAAGCAACCAAGTCATGGCGGGGCAGTGTTCGCCGAGGATTAAGCGCCATACATGGTCGGGACTCACCACCGACGCACGGCCTCCATGTGAAAGCTTGGTGGGGGGAGCCTCGCCTAAGCGCCTCCTGTTGGATATCCCAACTGGGAGCCTTGCACGTCTGGACCCCTTCGGCCCTTCGGGCTAAACAGGTCTGTTCACCCGTCACCAATGGCGAAAGCTGCTTCACTTGAGAGACCCACCAATAGAAGCGGGGTCGTTCTTCCAACAGGTAGCCGCGCCTTGTGGTTGGTGAAAAACGTACAGATAGCATGAAGACGCTAGTGCTAGGGTACCGGAGCCCCGGGACATTTCCTCTAGTGGGACTCTTCCGGTTCTTTCCCATCACCCAGCCCGGGCCCGCCTCAGCAGCCGACATGATCATACTAGTATTAGTGTGTACTATCTATGTGTGATGGCAATCACGGCGCGTAACAACTGACTAGTCAGTTGCGCCTCTATTGGCACCTCAAGGCAAGAATCTTCGCAGCCCGAGTTCACCTCCCTTAGCCGCCGGTGGCTGTTCGATAGATAGCCGCATCATTCCAAAACCCCGAATGTGTCTCGCATAGCCATAATGATGCGGCGGACAGGCATCCGTGCCTGGACGACCTCTTTGTTGGTAGATATAAAAGCGACATCTGTCTACGAATCTCGGGAGAGGCTCAAACCAGACACTAGAACAAACACCCATCAGCCAATCCAGTGCCCTTCACTAGTCAGCCTTCCCTTGCTTTCTTCTATTTTGCTCTCTCGTCAAACACCAGAACATACTCGCAATGCCTTTGAAAATGGGCTGGACAAGTATGTAGATTCCACTTACAGCTGCTGCTCCACGACCACAGCCACTGATTCGTGGGACAGGAAACGTTAACAGGCAGGCCTGTTTATACTTCCTCTTCGTGCCGACCTTCTTGCTCTACAGTGGGTAAACGGAATGGCCACTCTGACCAGGATGGAAGCTAATCTTCAGCTAGCTTTGGCCTTGGCAGGCTGCCTCTCGACGTCCCCTGGCATCCCGAACCTGTTTCTGGTCCAGGTCACCGCGGAGAGCTCTGGGAGTAAGATCAAAGTGGGATACTTTGGTAAGTGCAGTCATAGATGCCCCCGCCTTTCCCAGTTGCTGCAAGGCCATCAAAATAACCTCTGCCCGTAGGGATGTGTAGTGTTTCCGTCAACTCCACGGACTCGCAGTTGTGCTCCACTACCTCTGGTATTCCGACGAAAGATCTACTCGAACGGCTCTCCCCGCTAGATGGCAGGAGCGCCCTGACTGATGATCTCGTCGAGTTTGGCCTTACTCTATCGTCCAAGATCCTCCTTCCCATCCTCGCGGGGGGAGGGGTCGCTTTCACGCTGGGAATACTCTTTTTCTTGTTCTTCCAGATAAGAGTGAAACATCCAGACGCCCAGAGAGGTGCACTGCAAGTTCTTGAGTCGACATCGCTAGCTCTTGTGGGGATATCGTGCGTTCTGTGCTTCGGTGCTGCAATCTCCATTACAATGGCAGTGGCAGCTATGCAGTTCTGCGACAACCAAGCAGAGGCACCGACGTATGAAATCAAAGCCGGCGAACCGCTCCAAATAATACAATGGACAACATTTGCCTTTTCCATTCTCATAGCGGTTGGATTGAGGGATATCATGAGATCCTCTGGCTCGACTCAGAAAGCTCCAATGCAAGCTACGAAACGGCCCGCACAGCCCCTGGCGGCTGCACTTGATTTCTGAAGGAGTTTCTGGTGTGTTCAGGTGTCAAACATGATCATTTTTTGTTGGGCTCCCGATCAACATGCTTTCCTTTTCGATCCACTGTGAACAGCCGAAGTCGCTTCATCACTTGCATTTTTCATAACCCTTTCCTGGATTGTAGCCTCCCCTTTCTTGAGATACACTATGGGTTCAGCCTGTTTTCTTGATCCTGAAGTCTAACGCGTATTCTGTCATCCGGAATATAGATCCCTGTAGTTCCTGCTTCTCCCCCCCCCCCCCCCGCCGCGCGCTTCTTTATTGCTGCTGCGCCCATCACGCCGCGCGCCGGTCCTCTTGCGTGCCCTTTGTTGGTATCTCCTTCGACCATCGGAACTTATCTATATCGCGTCGAACTAAGTTGCAGGGATCTCGGCTACCTAATCCTAACGCAGCTAGTGGCAGGCAGCTCCAGACCTATCGCCGCCCCGTGACTCCGAGGCCAAATAATGAACGGTTGAATGCTCTTCCCGCCCTGCAGCGGATATCCCCCTCTTTCTCCTCCTCTTTCCAATCTCCTCCAATCGAGTTCAGTCATGGCGCACTCAACACTGGGCCAGGTGCTGTCCATACCAGAGCTCCTAGTCCAAATCCTAGGCCACCTAGACGTCCGAACCCTCCTCATAGCCCAACGAGTATGTCGAACCTGGGCGACCCAGATCCAACGATCCACATACCTACAACAAGCCCTCTTCCTAGCCCCAGCGCCCTCCACCGAGATTCCCATATATAACCCCCTCCTCCGCGAGACCTTCCCCTCCTTCTTCCCGGACATCGACGACCAAAACCCCTCCTATCTCCGAACCCCAGGGGACTGCTTCCCACCCCTAAACATCCCCTCCGGACCATCCTACCCCGAGGGTCTACCTGCCCCCGAAGCCCCTCACGACCATCCCATCGTCGACGACGCCGCCCGGGCCGGAATCTTCTACGGCCGCCTAGGCCCCATGGCGTATCCCTTCCGACGACCCGCCTGGTGGCGTCGTGAGGCCAGCTGGCGACGCATGCTCATCCAACAACCCCCCCTGCCCCATCTCACGGTTCTCCGCTTCTGGGCCAATTCCCAGGATCGCACGTATGCGGTCTGGCGCATCCCCGGCACGATCAACGACATCTCCACGTTGGAGCGATACGCGCGTACCTTCGACTGGCCGCAGTGCCAGAATCCCCAGCGGGAGGAATTCGAGGGAACCGCCGGGGTGCGCATGGGTCTTCTCTTCGATTATCTGAGTTGCGATCTGGATCTTTCCCGGTGGGCGTTGATGTGGGGACGGAAGGCCCCGATCTCGCTGGCGCGCGAATGGGGGGATGCGTTTGTGGAGGTTTACGAACGGGTCGCGGCGGATGGCGATTTCGTTATTTTGACGGATGAGGCGTTGTGGAGGCGGAGGGATGATGATGCTGATGTTCTGCCGTGGACGTCGAGTGTCACGAATCCGAGAAATAGGATTGTCGAGGAGTATCGACAGTCGGGGCTGATTCGGGATTGGAAAGCGTCGTATATTATGCGGGTGAAGCCGGAGAGAACGGGCCATTTTGATTATTTGCCTGTTGTGGTGTGGTTGGATCCGGAGGAGGTGTCGTATATGGTCCAGTTGCAGATGTTGCATGTGTCGCGTTCCAGTGATGATTTGTTGTTGGCTATGGGGCGTTGATTATTTACTTAGCATGTTTGGATGTACATGGGGTGTCATTGTGATTTGGATCGGGGTTGAGTTGGGTGGAATAAATTGGCACAATGGAGGACAAAGAAAGTTGACCAAGACGTGCCCATTGGTAGGTGTCAAAGGACCATGCTTTGTGTAACCCCAGGAAAGATATCGCGGCAGGTGTCTGGCTATCAAGTCTAATTCTGGTCGCGCCAGCCGGTTTCTTACGGAGATTGTCTATCGGTTTCGAATAGCCGCTGGCTTCCCCTTATAACCCAAGGGACGGGGCACAGTATTTCAAAGACGCGTCGTCCGCCTTGCATCGTCTTCTTCTGAATCTATTATCTACATCAAATATTTCATACTGCACTGCACCGTCTTTCCTCGATCATCCGCAAGAATCATCTGGATTGTCTAGAGAGGAATCAATAATGGGCAAAAAAGGAGAATCCACCCGACCCATGCTAGCAGTCCCAGCCAAAGAGTTCGTCAAATCGTATGTCTCCACCCCTCTGCACCTTTTCGTTTCCTTGGGATTCCAACTAACCACCCCAGCGTCCTCCCCTGCTACCGTGGTGCCGAAGTCACCATCCATCTCGGCAAGAAACCCACCCAACACACCTACATCGTCCCCAAGCACATCCTCTGCAAACAATCCTCCTACTTCGCCTGCCTATTCAACGGCAGATTTCGAGAAGGCGAGGAGCAAGTCGCCGAATTGACCGAAATCGACGGTGTGCTCTCCGTCCGCAGCTTCGAAATGGTCCTGCAGTGGTTATGCACCGGCACCGTCATCCTGGAAGACGAACCACCCACCCAGACCATTTCCACGGCCATCGAGTTCTCCCGACTTATGGATATGTATAATATCCCCGGGTCGGGGGATCGTATGGCGGAGCATATTAAGCGCACGATTGTTGAAAATTGTCCTTCACCACCTTCCACTGATACGAACTGGAGCCAAGCCACGAGGAGTCAAGCGAGGGATCCCAACGCTCATACTAACTATCTCACAACTGAGCACATTGTGTCAGCTGCGACCCTACCCCTCGGACATCCGGTCCGGATTATCCTCGCACAAGCCACCGTGGAGGGATTTCTGCGTGATGAATATCACAAGTTCATCAAGGAGACACAAGAAATTCCGGGATTTGCGCTGGATGTTCTGCGAGAGACGATGACGGCTCTGAAAGTCAGTCACAAGCATTTTTGTGCCTATGTTGCATTTAAGGATCCGTTTAGTGGGGAAATCTTGGACTCGTATCTTATGGCGTGAAGGGCTTTTTCTTTCCTCTCTCTCTCTCTCTCTCTCTCTCTTTGCTGATGACAGTTTATTAATTTGGTGGGCATATTCAGGATCACGGTTCTTAGTATTTGGTCTAACCCTCAAATGTCATACGTACTCCCAGCCAACCCTTGTCGGCCATGCGGCATCCCATTTCTATGCCATATTGCCCCATGCGACATCCACGTTCATACCCAGAACATGGAGCTTCTTCTCATATACTTTTCTCGGCGGGTAAACGGTGCAGTTGGGGAGGCATGGCGTCCGTGTCAAGTCCATGCGGGGATCATAAAGCGAACAATATGATTGTGACGGTAGTTGATAGTGATGGGGAGCGAGATTAATATCGTATTGCCGCACCGGAACTTCGCGCTAGTCCCGACTGAGCTAGACATGATGTGGGAGACACTAGCCCAGCTGGGCCTAGTCTCGCTTGGTCGGTTGTTCCTCTGGCCGATCTCCCGCGTCTACTCCGTTCTTCCTACCCACAGCGTCGCCATCTTCCGTCGACACATCTGTCCTTGAGGACCCTCCGCAGAACCCAGACTCTGAACTAGCACTGCTCATCGTGCAGGTTCTCGTCAGGTATGCGTGGCAATGCTCGTTGATGAGCCGGCCGACCGCTTCCACCAGCTTCGCGTCCTTCATTATCTTGTAGTGGTCGCGGCAGTCAAGGACGCATAAAGTGATGTCGCTACAACGCGCCCTCCACCACGGAACCACGCCATCTTGAAGACGATCAGGTAAGGCCAGATGGAGACACTGGCCATCGTAAATTGGCGGTTCGCTTAATTGTCTCAAGGCTTTCAGATGTCGATCAAAATGCTCTTGGAATGGTAACATGTCGCCTGGCTTCACATCCGTCATACCCAGGGAGTTTTTAATCAGGTCGTCCCTTTGACTTCTGTCTTTCGCAGGGATGTTCTCTCGCCCAAAAGTTCCAGGGTCGATCAAAATGACCGAGCTGCGATTTTCTCCGTGCAACTTGTCCCATAAGTGTGCCATTTCGAATGCAACTAGACCACCAAATGAATAACCGCCAAAGACAACGGGCTGATCGGTCTGGACATGGGCTTGGATATCATTGAGATAATGATTGGCCCATTCAGACAGTGTCTCTGGGCAATAGGCTGTGCCCAAGAAAGGGTCGTCAAGCAGGAGTATGTCAAACGCATCGTCCAACAGCGGCAGCAGAGGCTCGAATACTGTCGAGTGTGCGAGGAAGGGATGCACGAGGACAATAGTTGCCACACTCTCCTGCCGCATACGCAGATGCACGTGCCCTGGAATGCTGCTTTCTGGCTTCCCCTGTCGAGCCTTGACTGCCTGCGACTGAATAGTCGAAGTTTGCGACAAATCTGTCATATCGAAATGCAGTCCTTCTCGACGAAGTAATGCGAGGAGTACTATGGCCCGAACAGAGTCACCACCCATCTGGTAGAATTCTGCAGTCATATCGATCGTGTCTTCCTTGATTCCTAGCACCTTTGCCCAAAGTGAAGCTATCTTGGCTTCCAGGGTGCCTGCTGCGGCCCGAACTGGCAAATCTAACTGGCCCGAGGGACTCTCCATATACTCCTTGTACTTGCTCTCTGCTATTTCGGCGATGGCCCTTCTATCCAATTTACCACTTGTTGTTCGAGGCAATGGTGTTGTTTGCACCCAGATGTGGGCCGGCACCATGTAGACCGGGACACTGCGTGCGATATACTCCTTGATAGCATTCTCGGAGATGAGCTTGCTGATAGCCGTTCCATGATTTGCCTCGACCAAAGCTGCCAAAACCTCAGCTCCATTGCGCTGGAGCTTGACCACAGCACAGGTCATGATGTGCGGGTGGTTTTGCGCCACGGAGCAGATCTCGGCAGTATCAATTCGAAGACCTCGGAGTTTTACTTGCCCATCGATCCGACCAAGGTACTCAAGGTATCCATCACCGTGGAGCTTCGCCATATCCCCTGTGCGGTACATCCTTTCTCTTCCGCTTACTGAGAATGGGTCTGGAGTGAACTGTGCTGCAGTCAAGTCTGGTTGGCCGAGGTACCCTCGTGCAACCTGCGGTCCGCTAATGCACAACTCTCCAATGCACCCTATGGGGACCCTTTCGTTTGTTCCGGGGTGTAACAGGCGTATCTGCCTGTGCCATCCAGGTGTTCCAATCGGAGCAAACGACCGGCCTATGCACACATCGGTGTCGGGCCCTTGTAGCTTGCAGGCCGCTACTTCAATAGCCGCCTCAGTGGGGCCATAGCCATTCCAGATGGTGACTGCTCTCGGTACCCGACTGAGGAAGCTGAGGCGGAAGGGTTCCCCTCCAAAAACCAAACACCGGAGAAAAGGTAATCCCTGGTCACTGCTAAGCTCATTCACAATCAGAGCACCCAACGTGGGAGTCAGCGACAAGTGTGTGATGCTCAGTGCTTCTAGCCAGTGACTCAGCCTGGGCAGCATGTCGTCTTGACGCACAAAGTGGAGCCGACCGCCTTTACAAAGAGTGGCGAATAGGTCACCCATCGATGCGTCAAATGTATGCGCAAGCAGCGCAAGTCGGTTTGAAGTCCATGAACAGTCCGTACTTCCTTCGTTGGAGGCCACGAATGACGCTAGGTTGCGATGGTCGACCATGACCCCTTTTGGTGTACCGGTTGATCCTGAAGTAAAGAGAACATAGGCCAAGGACTCCAAGGATGGCGCTCTCTCATTGAAAGACGGGCCGTTGTTATGAAGAAGAGCATTCACGGTGCACAGGGTTGCTCCTGTCGATCTGGACAGATTGCGCAGCTTGTCGCCACCAGTTATACCGTCCCAAAAAATGACTCTGGCTTGAGTCGCTTCGCAAATTGCCTTCAATCTCGGGATAGGGTGCTGAATGTCCATGGGGACAAATGCCGCCCCGGCCTTTAGTATGCCTAATATGGTGGCAACCATGTGCACTGACTTTTCGAAGAAAATCGGAACGTATTGTTGCTCGATGATGCCACGAGCTTGACTCTCCAGAGCTTCATGCAGCCCACGTGCAATACGACTACTCAAGTCGTCAAGTTGCCTGTAGGTAACAAATTCGGTCGACTGGACTTGTAGAGCAATCTTGTCTGGTGCGTGCATTGCCTGCCTGCGGATGATATTAACAACAGTAGGTATTTCCTCACACTCTGCTTCGTGAGGGTCTTCCCTCTGGGTTGACAATAGCTGGATGGCACGATTCTCATGCTCAGTAATAGTCAGCTTTGCCTCCGTACAATCCCAATCATCCTGGGAATTGGAAGAGTGTGCAATAAGATTGAGCGAATCGACAAAATGTTGCAGAAACCACTCTACATCCGCGGGAGGTAGTATGAAGGGATCAAACACGCAACGCATGCGCAGATGACCTGTGGGATCCTGACATGATACTTCAAGCACCAAGGGAAAGTCTGAATGTCTCAGCTCATCATGGCCAACTCTGAAGCTTGCCCATGGTAATTGATCCGTGCCCTTTGAGTGTGTCTCTTGGTAAACGAAGAGCACTTGGAAGGGCAACAAGTCGGGATTGCCTGTCAGTTGTCTGATGGACTCGACACCGAGATGCTGATGGGGTATTGTGTCCAGATATGCATCCCTTGTGCGCTTCAGAAGTGTTTCTATTGAGACACGTTGTTTTGGAACGTCGTTGTCCTGCTGCCTTACGTCTGTCCCCAACCGAATTCGCACTGGATGCGTGGTAATGCAAGGACCGGTAACAAACCCGGAATGAGATCGCCCGCTTGAGACCTCGCCGAAAACAACATCATCTGCGTCACCATGTGCCGCAATGCATAAAGCGAAGGCAGCTCTTGCAATTCCGGCAGGGGTGGTGCCAAGAACTCTTGAGATATCTGCTGCATTACCTTTCCACTCAGCAGACTTTGCTAGCGGAACTCTATCTTCATTCATGGGCCCTTTGAGGCCATATGGAATTGGCCAACTACCTGCCGGGGCACCGTTGAGGTACTCCCTCCAGAACGAGGAAGCCACAGCTCGGTCTTTGTCTTGTAACATGCGAATGAAAGCCGTGAACGGAACGTGGCCTTCTGTCTGGCCGGCGTCGGGCTTAGGCTTTTGCGCTAGGTGATAATCGCGGGACAGCCCATCAAGAACATAGGACAGGTAGGCCTCATCATACAGAGCGTGATGGATCGTCAACTCAATGACACAGTTGCCTGAAATTTCGTTTCGCGTCAGGGTCAACGAGACCGGTATGTGACCCATCCCGAGGTCGAGCGGAGAATGGTTCTCTTGTGGATGAGCAAGCCGGGGTGTTGTGACTCTGTCGACTTCTGCCGACTCACAACGGAGGACAGCCTGCAAAAACGCACCGCTACAGGTGCCTTGTCCGGACAAGCCCTGCGTTGACGGCATGAAGACCGTCCGAAGCACTTCCTCTCGCTTTACCGTTGAACGCCATGCTGATTGCAATTTATCAATATCCAGTAGCTCATCAAATTCCAGCCTCATGGTAGCCAGATAAGCCGGGGTTTCTCCAAGGACGAGATCGGTGGTGAGGACACCCTCCTGGAAAGCAGTGCAGGGCATGAGCTGCACCACATCCTCTGTGCAGATCCCGATAGCCTCAACTGCCTGATGCCATTCATCTACTCTAATCGGGGCGAGGTTAGCGAAGGTTAGGATATTCACTGCCTCTGCTTCTTCCTGACTCCTACTGTCGCACATCTTTGATATCCTATTGGCCAAAGCCTTCGGCACGGGATAGTCAAACAGGTCACGGACAGTGACGGCACATTTCATTCGTTCCGCAATCCTGGAGACCGCTCTAGTCGCCATCAAGGAGTGACCGCCGAGGTCGAAGAAGTTGTCGGTAATACCCACGTCAGATCCAAGTACGTTGGCGAATTCGTCGCAGACCACGCGTTCAACCTCGTCTCTCGGGGGTACGTGGGTTGCAGTGGTTGGTATCTGCGCAAGCGAGGTAGTTGCGGCCATTTCGGATAGTGCACGCCTGTCTACCTTGCCACTGTGATTGATGGGCATCTCATCAAGGAGCCTGATGACAGCCGGCACCATGTACGAAGGCAGACGCTCTTTTAATCGTTGTTGAAGCTCCTTTTCAAGATTCCGTCCCGACTGACTCTGCATTGGGTTATTACTCAACGTTTGCGTTGAGCGACCTGCATGATCCGTACAGAATCTGAACACGGTCCTTTGCCTCCCGCTTTCTGGTCGGATTCGGTGGAATATGGCATCGAGGCCACCATGCTGCGAAAACTGCCGCGCCCAACTCAACTCCACACGGAATCCTGCGCGGGAAGCCAAGTCTTGGAGATCGACGGCAGAGAGCGCGTTAACCATAGAGGATATGGAACGGAGCGATGAAATCCAACCAGCATCTCTGACGCTTGACTGACTTGAGAGCGCTTCAACAATGAGCCTTTCAACAATGGTCTTGCTGTGAGGAATATTAGCAATAGCTACAGTAGCTGATTCATGGGTCTGCTGCAATAGCTCCAACAACCCTTGCCGGCTTAACTTAGAGGCACTGTAGTCGATCCACTGATCATCGTCCACGGTGTGAACTTCGTGAAGATAATCCTGGCGCGCAGCATGAATAACAGCCGAATACCGATAGCAGCTGAGCTCATTTGTCGCCTGCATCCGCTTGGGCAGGATCTCGACGTGACGGATAAGGTCAGGGAACTGATCCGTCAAGGCAGTGAAAAAGGCCGGGTCAACGAGCAACTCTGTCTCGCTTTCCGCAGTCTCTGTCATGATCTTGTGAATATACTCAGGGGTTATCGTATCTCCTGCATGCAATGCCTTCGTTACCTGGAACTGGGTATATAGAGCATATGACCGCATGTCTCCGAAGAAAATTGTCTTGGCCTGATGCACACGGAGAAGATCCTCGATAAGTCTGCCTAGGTATTCTGCGCTGGGAAAGTACTGTGCGACAGAGTTCACCACGACCAGGTCTGGAGAAACATCGGTCACCGCTATCTTGTCCAAGTCAGTAGCGGTGCCGACATGCAGCGTTACTTTCTCTGCTAAGGTCGGGTTAAGTTTGTCAATCGTCTCATGGACAAACTCCACAATGGACTTCACCGGCTCAAGGCCAACATAGCTCTGCAGGCCCTCTGCAAGATTGAAGAGAATCATTCCCGAGCCTGTCCCGACCTCAACAACATGGCCTGGGGGCGCGCCATTGAGCATGGCTGCAATTGTATCGTCTAGCCATTCGTTCATTTCCCCGGTGTCGATATATGAGCCATCATACATTGATTTCCAGCCAGAAAAGTCTCTCCCGGCCTTGTGAGTGTCGATCTTGGAGTCGTAGGTGGTTTCACTAAAGATGCGCTGCCAAGCCTCTTCAAATTCCTGTTCGCCGCGGTCGATACGACCTTGGTTTCGAAGATCCTTCGCTTCCTTGACGAAGGCGACCAGCCGAGCTTCTTGGTCATCCGGCTGCTGTAAGAGGACTGCGGCATTTTCTGCCAAGCCCGACTCGAGAATAGCATGCTCAATCTCCCCTGTCTCGACGCGGAAACCTCGGATCTTGACCTGGCCATCCATCCGGCCGATGTATTCAAGTTGTCCATCCATCGGTCGGTGACGAACTCGGTCACCCGTGCGATATGCCCTGATTATTTGGCCGTCGAGTTCAATGTCAACAAACCGATTGACGTTTCTCTTCGCGTCAGTATAGCCGCGCGAAAGCCCATCGCCAACTACAACAAGCTCGCCCATTACACCAGGTGGGACCAAGCGTAAGTGCTGATCCATAACGTAGGCCCCGGAATTGGTAGCAGCTTCTCCGATCGGAACACCGTTATGATACTGACCTCCATCTGGCAGTCGATAGAAGGTACTGAACACGGTATTCTCAGTCGGCCCATAGGCATTAATGATCTCCTTTTGAACCAGCTTGCGTGCTCGGGAAAGATCTTGGGGATCTGAACGTTCTCCACCAACAACCAGTGTATGAAGCTCCGAGATGGAAGCTGGCGACTCTGAAAGAAATTGTTTCAGCAAGGCCGGTGTCATAAGTGCTATCCTAATGCCATGTAGGGAAAACACATTGGACAGAGCTACAAAATCCAGCACTGTCATTGTATCAATACAGACCACGGTGCCGCCGTTAAGCAGGGAAGCGTAAATCTCCCAGACTGCTGCATCAAAAGCGATGCTAGATATATGGGCAAATGGCTTCGCGGCGCTCTCGTTATCAAGCATATTACAGTCTCTAACGCGCGATACAACTGCCCTGTGCTCGATCATGACCCCTTTTGGTTGGCCGGTGGACCCCGAAGTGAACATGACGTATGCCAGACTGCTGGGCCCAGGATTGCTGCGTTCATTGTTTTCGTTGCTGACTCGGTTGTCCAGGCCAAATGGATCTACCATTGGGACAACCTCTAGCCCGTCGACCTCAATCATCGGAAGTTGAACATCTGATCCGACAAGAACAGCTCTGCGTCCTTCAATAGCAGAGAGGATAATTTCAATTCGAGCAGCCGGAAACTTGATATCCAGTGGCAGGTAGGCCATGTTTGCCTTGAGAATGCCTAGGAAAGCTGCGATGGTCTCGCATGATCGCTTCGCAAAGACTGCAATCACTGCTTCTGTCGGAAGCCCCAGTTTGCTCAGCCAATTGGCCATCTTTTCCGACTCCTGATCAAGCCTGTCATAGCTCCATTGGTGCGAAGCGTCTTTGACGGCCATTACTTCAGGATGTGCGGCCACTTGCTCACGAAAGACGTCGACTATACTTGAGTTTCGAGGGTAATCGGTGCGATGAACTTTGACCAAATTCATATGGTGAAGGGCGGAAAGGCCACTCAGAAGAGACATAGCCTCAACCTCAGTACCGGGCCTCTCCAATCCTCCTTCTAATATATCTTGGAAAATGGCAAGCAAGGTCTCAATTGTCCGATGGTGGAACAGATCAGTTGCGAACATGACCTCCCCGTCTAGGCCCTCATCGTCTTGGTAAAAGTGGAACTCAAGGTCGAACCTCGTGGCATTTGTGAGGTTAATATACTCCGATTCCAGGCCTTCGATAGAGACTTTGTCGACACGCTCTGGGTGAACTGCAAAGATTGTTTGTATCAATGGGTTGCGAGAGCCCTCTCGCGCAGGGTGCAGCGCAGAAACGATCTTCTCAAAAGGCACCTCATTATGGGCAAATGCTGCTGTCGCCGTGTCTTTCACCCGTTGAACCAGCAGTTCGAAAGTATCCTCGTCTAGGACTTGGATCCGCATGCACTGCATGTTGACAAACAGCCCAATTAAGCCTTCATGCTCTTCGCGGTTACGGTTCGTGATTGGAGTGCCGATCGTTGCGTCTACTGATCCTGTCATTCGGTAATGGGCGGCTCGAAAAGCAGCCAACAAGACAATGAAGGGTGTTATATGAAATCGTTGGCAGAATCGTTGCAAGTGCCGGTACAGCGCCCCGGTGATGCTTATTCCTTTCACATTGGCTTGTCCTGATGGAACAGGCGGTCGCGGTCTATCGCAAAGGAACTCGGCCGGATGGCTGCCTCGCAGTTGATCAGTCCAGTACTGCAATTGGCGCTCCTGCTCTATCAGTTGTTTCTCCTGGTGCTGCCACAAGGAATAATCACGATATTGAATCGGAAGCGATGGTAATTGCGCCAAGGGATCCTTTCCGTGAAACTTCGCAGAGTAGAATGATATGAGCTCCCGAACGAGCACTCCCAAGGACCATCCATCTGCGATAATATGATGGAGAACTAGGGATACGACGTGGTCCTCAGCGTCTACTCTCAGCGCGGCTGATCTCCAGCCGGGTTCGGTCTTCAGATCGAACGGTGTCGTTTGTTCCCTGCGCAAGACAGAACGAAGATGCTCTTCCCTATCTCCTGGGTGTTGACCGATATCTATAAGCCGTATTTTTCTTGGTACAAAAGGATGAACCACTTGGATTGTGACATCATCCCTGTCTTCAAATGTTGTGCGAAGCGTTTCGTGACGTTGTTCAATTGCGAGCAAAGCAGCCTCCAAAGAGTCAAGATGCAGCGGCCCTCGTAGCCTGAACGCAAGTGGTAAGTGATACCAGCTCAAGTTGGAATGAAGCTGTTCTAGGAACCAGAGGCGTCCTTGTGCAAACGATTGTTCAACGGGTTTAGAGTCTGGAACATGATAGGACGCCGCAGAATGCGGCAGCAGTTCTCCGGATTCGCGAATGCGTATGCTCAGAGAACGAGGGGTCAAACACTCCAGGACATCTCGGAAGGTGATGTTGGTGCTGAGCTCTTTTCTAATCCTACTAGCCACCCGAATTGCTGTGACAGAGTGCCCTCCGAGGTCCAGGAAACTGTTAGTGATACCAGCTCCGCAAGAAAGGACGTCGCTGAAGGCTTCGCAGACATGCCTTTCGACTTCATCCTGTGGGGGCACATATTCTGCGGTCGCTTGGAATTCTTCCTTCGATAGGACTAACGTAGCGCGTGATGCCAGCGCCTGCTGATCGAGCTTGTTGCTAGCCAAACGAGGAAGGCCATCTTCCAGCATCGCAATGTGCCCCGGTACCATATAGTCCGGCAAACAGCCGGCCATATTGGACTTGATTTCGGCCTTGATACACAGCCAGTCATGATTTTCATTCGTCAGCTCATCGGCCAAAGACCGACCTGGATTTATTTCGACAAATGCAACCAGAGCTTTCCCATGAAGTGATTCCCCTATGACGACCGCACAAGCCTTGACGCGGGGATGTTTGCCTATCGCTGTCTCTATTTCGAGTGTTTCGACACGCTGTCCACGGATCTTCACCTGTCTGTCTATACGCCCGAGGTAATCGAGTCTGCCGTCGGGGGAATATCGTCCAAGGTCTCCAGTCCGATACAGTGTCTGATGCCCATCATTCTCGAAAGGATTATGTACGAATTTCGTGTCCGTGAGATCTGGCTGCCTCAGGTAGCCTCGAGAAACCTGAGGACCACCGATGCAGATTTCACCGACCTCCCCAGCGGGGGCACACTCCATGCTGTCAGGTGCCAAAATATAAATCTTGCAAATTCCGAATGGGCGACCTATCGGGATTGTTGCGCGTCCTTCATCCTCGGGCGATATCCTGTAGCTTGTTGCCACGAACGTTGTTTCACTAGGGCCATAGTTGTTGTACAGACGGCATTTCTTGGGTGTGTGGTTTATGAGGGAGGGGTGGAAGGGCTCTCCGCCCACCATGAGCACACTCAGATGTGCTGGAACGTGGTCTTCTAGTAAGTCTGCAACCAGGGGTGTCGTATTCAGGTCCGTGACACTTGTCATCTCCAACCACTCGGGTAGACATGAGAGTATCTTTGCGTCTGGGCCGAGGACCAGTCTTCCTCCACGCCCCAAGGTCCCGAATATGTCCGCCATGGCGATGTCAAACGTGCGGTTGGACAACTGCAACTTGCTAGTTCTCCAATTGCCGAGAAAGTCGGGTTCGTCGGCTTGCATGAAAGCTAGCAGGTTACGGTGCTCGATCATGATACATTTTGGCGTTCCAGTCGTCCCGGATGTGACCTGGATGTAGGCCAAGGATGAGGCCGATTGCTCCTGTCCTGGTCGTATGCACGGAGCTCGGCACCCATTCGTCTGGGTCAACTCATCAAGTGTGACGATTGCTGTTCCTGTCTTCTCAGAAACTTCATGCAACTTGTCTGTACCAGTGTGGCCGTCACTGATAATGACAGACGCGCCTGTTCTGCTGATGATGTTCGCAATGCGGTCAGCAGGATGGCTGGTGTCGATGGGCACATAAGCAGCGCCAGACTTTAGGACTGCGAGCATGGCGATAACCAGGTCAAATCCCTTGTCAAATGATATGGGAACAATAATCTCCTGGTCAAATACCCTCGCGTCAGAACAGTCCAGCCAAACTGTGAGGGCATCAGACACCGCATTGCAGCGATCATTCAACTGCTCATAAGTCATATACTCAGAACACTCATACTGCAGAGCTATCTTGTGCGGCATGCGTCTGGCAGCCTGCTCAAACAGATGGTGAGCGCAAATATTTTGCTGATCTTCTATCTGGTTCATGCATGAGTGAGTTGATCTCCAGCTCAACTGCTCTGGGGTTGATTCGGATGCGTTGGTGGGCAGGCCGGGGTGAATGTCTGGCTGCTCGAAAGGCACTCCATGATCGATACAGACTGCCACACCCGGCCTAGCAGAGAGAATGTGACTGACGGCAGACTCAAGGGTAAAGACTTTCAGGTTGTCTTGATTCTCTTGCAGCCATTGAAGACAGCCACAGATGAATTGCTGGAACGCGGTGATTTCCTGATCTGTAAACCGGTTGCGGTGATAGCAAACACGGACCAGGGAGGCATTCTCATGTGGCAGAATTTCGATCACCAATGACTTATCATACCGTGATTCCTTGCAGTCCCAAGCCCAGCTGCCCACTCCGCTGGCACATGACTCAGTGTGACAGACTAGGCACGCCTGAAGCGATCTGTCCAATTGTGGGAAGAAAGATTCAATCTCTCCTGGAGAGAATGCATGATGGATTTCGTTCTCTACATGCAATTTCTCGGCAATATCGGAGAGCGGGGTGTGGCTTTTAAGTTTGGCCCATCGAAGTTGCGGTACGAGGACAGGACCCAGCGCTTCTCGATGAATGGATGGAAGAACTCCTCGTCCTGATGTTAGCTCCAGGAACACAGCGTCTTCGACTTTTGCAAATGCACGGAGTGCCATGCATAGTGCTAGCCGGGCCATCCATGGAGGCAGGCTGGATCGACCGTGAGACTCGACAGCCACTCTGCCAATTGTCTCACCATGCCCGTCCCGATTGGCGGGATCTGAGTCACCGAGCGTGAAAGGCAAAAAGGGAATGCCGGAAATCTTATCCTGTAGCCGTGTTCGCATATCGCGGCTGCGGCGGTAACTCTGGCCCCTATGAACGGCGTAGACGTCGGACGTGGCTTCGACAGAGCCGGGATTTTTCATTTCGTCTTGCAGAGATAACAGCAGTTGGCGAGCTGATACCTCATCTAGAAGTGCGTGATGATAGCACAGGGTCACACGGGACCCTCGGTTGGGCAACTGGTTGATGGAAATTTTCCATGGCATTCCTCCATGCCATTGTGCAACTGCGGCAGGCCCCGGCAGTCCAAGGACACAAAATTCGATATAGGTGTTCTCTAAGTCGGGACCCGGCGACAACTTCTCAACCAACGTGATCTTCTGCTGTGGGTAATTGGTACCCAGCACTACAAGCGAGATCCGACTCGGATGTCGATCGGTGATGTTTTCGTTCCAGCAAAAGATGGACCGTAGTACAGCATGTCGCCGGGCCAGTGCATGAGCCGCACGATTTACTCCAGCCGCATGGATTGTCTCACGACTGATGAAATGTTGTGCTTCCATGCAGACGCGGTGATGCTGATCCATCATCGTTACAAGCACCATTTCTTCCTGAAACTTGGAAGCCTGATGGACTGCTTGAACGCTGATTGGCGAGATTCCGGCGTTATCGATGGTATTCGCTGCTGCCTGGGAAAGAAACTGAGGCTTTTCGCCGCCATTGGTAGCCAGAATCATTCTGTCTTGCTTATTCAATGCAACAATTAGGAATCAGGAACAAAGCAGTGGTTGAAATGAATACTGCAAGGAGATTGGGAGCATATGCAGGGCGTGTCGAGTCATATAAAGTCTTGTCGATTACAGCACATGCTGCTGTCGCATAGAAACGAGACCTGGGGGGACTTGGGCCGGTGCCCCATGGGATGATGTGAGAGCTGATGTTCGTATCTACGTATCCCTGACATGCGAAGGTCCTTCCGGGAACTCGTTTACTTCTGTTTCAGCGGAGAGCGATGGCCTCGTTGGTCAATGGAGTATCTACATCAGGGTGCGAATGGACGGAATGTCTACATTGAATTCGCATGGGCCTCGCCAGCCGCTTCGTATAGAAATGGTGGAACATGAGTCGGTACACCTGACCCTGACTCGACGTTATATATTGCATCAGGACGACCAGTGTTATTACACAACTTGTTCCTCCTGAGTCAGTTGCGAAGCCATTTCCCCGCGTTGAGATTGACATTCCGGTCAACATTTTATGACCATCTTCTCAATGCCGACTCTTGCTGGACTCTATACCTCTTTCTCTGGCCGAATTCTGGCCATTGATGGAACGAATCGGCTGACACTCCTCCCAAAAGAGGACCAGCCTAGTTCCGCGAATAAACTTCGAGCGGATGGCGAGTTCTGGCTGTGCTGCGACGATGGCGTGAGTAACTCAGCAGCACTGACTACTTCAAGGCTGATTCTCGGTTTGTGACGGCAGTTGATTGGCAAGTTTGGAAGCCCGACTAAGGTGAGTATACCTTTTTGGCAATGGTAATACACGAATTCACTGTATATTGCCAGGTTACACTCCACCATGAAAATCAGGAATACCATGTGTGGGTTGAGCCTCGTGGATTCAGCAACGGAGCAAATGAGGTATGAACGATTCACAGTCATCTTTCGTTTCAGGTTGCTGACGCGGCACTCCGCCAACGATAGTATGGGCTGATTCCCGTTGTTCCTGGTGGGGAGTACAGTAACCGGTTTTTGGCCGTTAATGATGATCTGGACCGGCTCAAGATTGTGGATTCGTGGACACGGGAGGCGAAGTTCCGATGTGTTGAGTAACCGTCAGTCGTGTCAGACATCAGCTCGGGTTTATGCATGACATTCGGCGAGGCCGCTTCCCGAGTTACTCTTGTCGTTGTACGATGATGCGTACAGATAGATGTCAGCTTATCTCATTACATGAATGTATTGGCGTTTGTCCGAAATGTCCTCGAGCCGTTAAGATAGGGTTACACATCCACCAGGCATTGATCCGTGCGGGCCAGCATGTTTATTCTCGGCTCGGAGAATATCTCACTGGCCAGATGCAATTGGGACTTCGGACACCGAGCACCGCCGCCGTGATGACACGTCTGCACAACCTGTTGCAGTACACAGATATACACAACAATATCACACGCCTCAAACAACTCAACATACATGAATTGATACTACTTCACAGCTTCAACACATCTACAGCATCTATCACAGCGCCTTCAGCAAATGCTTCTGCAACATCTGCTCCGTAAACTCCCAGATCTGCGGCGTACTATGACTCTCCCACGTCGCCCCAGTGTAGTAAGTATTCCGCACCCCCTGCAACGCATTCAACTCCCGATAGAAACCATTCTGAATCGCCTCCGCCGACACTGTCAACTCATAGGGACTATGATCCCCAATCGCCAAAAACTCGGGTTCCGGGAAATTCACCCCCGAGCGCATCCGCACACTCTGCAAATCATGCAGAATGCCCTGCTTGAGCTCCTCCTCCGACAACTCCGTCATACTCAGATAGTTCGCCACCTTCAACTCGTTCTCCTCCGTCGGCTTGAGCTGCAATATCCCCGGCAACCGCGGCAACAAGAACGGATCATCGGCTGCCCGATTCATGTAACACACGTCCGCGGGCAGACCCTTGATTCGCATCAACGCAGTGTAGAAAAATAAATGATGAAACTGGCCGAATACTCGCTTCTCCTGATCACTCAGATCAAACCCTGCCAAACTGGTCAAACTGGGCTGAATTGCCACGACCAGCTTCTTTCCTTTGACCGTCGTCACTACCTCCCCATCCTCACCCCCCTTCCGCACCGTCACCACCACCCCCTCCGCATCCCTCTCCACCCCCACAACCCTAACCCCCAACATCACCCCCCCAACCCCCTCCAACTCCCTCTCCGCCCTCTCATACAACAAGCTATTATCCCGTCCCTCAGGCCTAATAAACCCCGTCCGATCCCCCTCCAACACATCCAAATTCGCATACTTCATCACATACACCGCCGGGTTCCGCGGCCAGTCGCCCAGCGGATTAATCGAGCCCCCTAGGTCCCCGATCCCAGCGGTCAGATCATACTGCTGCATGAATTCCCCGAACGGACGCAGTAAATCCTCCGGAACCGGATCCGGAAGGTCATACCCTACTTTTAGGTACGGGTAGCGTTTCAGTTGGGTGATGTAGCGGGTCATTGCTTCGTTGGAGGCGTTGCTGGAGGCAGAGGTGGTGGTGGTGGGGATGGGTGTGAGGGTGTTGAAGTCGAACATGTCGATTGGGTAGTTGAAGGCTGCGTAGGTGAGGGGGATGTTGAAGTGTGTGAAGAACGACCGCACGATCGACATGTTTTGGAAGTAGGTTACGCCGTAGTCGGTTGGGTGGTTGGTGATGGGGTCGTGGTAGGTGGTTGTTTGGCCGCCTAGACGGGGCTTGTGGTCGATTACGAGGACCGAGTGGTGCTGTTGGTGGAGACGGATCGAGGCGTAGGTGCCTGCTGCGCCGCCGCCGATGATGATCACGTCGCGGGTGAGGGGGGCGGTGGACATGGTTGGGGTGAGGAGCGTGAGGAGAGTTAGGGTTAGGAGGAGGGTTTGGTATGGTGGTGGTGGGAGATGCATCTTGACGTAGTTTTTGCGGAGGATATTTATATGCGAGTATACTTGTTGAAGGGGTTGTCCGGAACTGTCCCGGAGATGATGGTTAGGGCATGGATGGGTGAATGAATGAACGGATCAATGGATGATTAGAAGGTAGAGTGAGATGAGAGTAAAAGAATGAAGGTTACTGGAAGCCGCATATACGATCCAGGCAGACGCGCGATTTATATCATTGGTTATGGAATCAGCTGCATCACGAGACTCGTATACATGCAACCCCGTATTTGGGCTGATGTGCTGACTCGAGTTGGTCGGGCAACTGGTTACTGACTGTATATTGTTCGATGAACACGAAGGTACATTTCCTTGTAGTATAGGAACATGGCTGGGCTGAGATAAGCTGCAGTGAATCATGGCGCGGTTTGGAACGTTGTACAGAACACGACTGAGGGTTACTCTCCGTAAGGGGTTATGGTCCGATGGTGATATGGATGGGGTTGGATGTCGTATGATTTGGGTCGTGGTTGCTTTTTTTGGTTGGGATGTTGATGGGATGGGGGGAGGCACCGTTCTCTTTGTTCTGTTGATGTTTTTTTGCCATGGCAGCGGTGGATATTTTCTTATTCTGTGTGTTGGTCGTTGTTAGGGGAGTGTCAGTGTTTGCTGGAATACCTAGGAGTCTGTCGTTCCAACATCAATGTCCCTTAGCATGCTCTTCTTTGAGATATTCTACTATTGTGAACTATCATGCCTTATAAGTACTAATGAAAGCATTGTTGAATGCTGCGTTGAGGAGACATAGCATATTAATCCGTGTGGTTGCTTAGGATACCACCTTGGGAAGGACAAGTCTATCTGCTACTAAACACGGTATTCAATCCAATAACTTTTTATCATGGCAGATATCTAACTATTTTCTAGAGTAACAGAACTCAGTATCGAGCCATCGGTTCAGCACAAGACATGCAACGATGATACGCTATTCGCGCTCTTCCGCATCAACCGTCACTCCGTCTGCAGTACCGCTAAAAGGCAGCCCCTGAAAAGCCTCATCCAAGTTTGCTATAGACCCCCTGATAGAGGGACTGGGTGCTATATCATTCCTGGCTTCTCGCTCACGCCGTGCACGCCTCCATATAGCGGGCATGTGGCCCCATCGAGAACTAAGGTTATCATCTGACGAGACATCGAGTGCCGCGTCTCTCAGTCCTCTGCTGGGGATGTCAGTGAGAAGATTGACCGAGTCATCGCTATCCATACTAACCACGCCTTTGTTGTCGTCAGAGGCCTCAAAGTCTTCCGCATAATTTGGACTGACGCCAAGGTCGCTATGGGTAATCTGATCCAAAGAACTCTCCTCCGCACTAGGAGCCTCCCGACGATGGTATTCAGCCGATAGCCCCGATTCACTAGCAGGGTCCAGTTCAGCAGTCAGCCCCAGTTCACTCGGGGTGGGACTGTGAGTCCAGGTAGGGGAGCCACGGTTAAAACTACTCTTCAAAAGAGAAAGTCCACGGCTCCTCATTTCAGGTCTCTGGAAACTTTCTGGCTGATCGTCATCAGCCATGACAGACGGGAACACAAGTGCCGGAGTATTGACTGGTACCACAGGCTTGATATAGATTGGAGGGCTGTTAAGTAAAGGGAGCCCCCATTCCTTTCTCAGATTGTTCAAAATGCTCATAATATCGAACGAATTCTGATGAAAGACCCTTCGTCTACCATGGACAATGACATCCATCAGACTTCCTGGGAATTCCATCTGAGGCTCTTCGATTGAATCCTCCAGGTCTACCTTCTCGGACGAGAGCACCCGCAGTCCTGTCAACACTATAGAGAGATCTTCACTAGAATCCGCCAGTCCTTCCCCATGAGGCTCCTCCATAGAACTCAAAAGGCGCCCGTGGGAGCATTCTACATGAAACTCAAGACTAGTCCCTCTCAACACCGCTCCGTACACCCGGGCGGTCCTCACTACCTTTGCATCCGACTTCACGTCTGCTTCTCGAATTCTGTGTGCACGTTTGACTGACGCTTTACACTCCCTGGTCATCAGAACCCGGTCATAGTCCGAGGATTTCCCATGACCTTTGCTACACACCATGACCAAGATGGGACCATGTCGTTTGTGCGACATAATGAGGGTATCATACACGACCGCCTCCATGGATTGTTTGGTTGTAGTCTCCACATGAAAATCATCCTCCGGAATGCCTTTCTGTACAATTCGTCCGTTGGACCGTCTTTGTTCTTGGAAGAATTCTGTCAATCGCTCTTCCCAGGCGGGGAAGTAAGCACAGCCGGACATTTTGATGGTATTTTCGAATCCGAGAAGATTTTCGCACACTTCGGGCTAGATTATCAGTTGGAATTGGTTGCTGTCTCTATGGAGAAAGAACAGGACTTATTGTAGGACTGGGGGGTTTTTATGACGTTTGAGCTTTAGATGTCAGGTACATTCCTCTGGGTTATTCCTCCACCAATGGCGGGCTACTATATACATTTCCCTTAGGGCATATACCCCCAAATTGCTTCTTATATGGAAAGGCACTTTCCAGCTAGGACTTATATGTAACATGACATCTGTAGAAGGTTGATGCATTTGATTTATTTTGAAATTTTAAGGAACATGATTCCCCAAAAATGGACTTCTTTTCGAATCTAGTGACATAAGGATTTTCTGATAAGTAGATTGATTTAATCACGAGCCAAAGAGCTATTCCTTGATATGATTATGTCGCTTGTATATCGATATACGCTTTGACCCTGGATGCTCCACTAGTTGAATTCCCGGGTTTGGCTCTTACTAACAAATAGCTTTGAGGTTTGTAATATAAATGGTATGATATTAGTTGAATTTCAATAAATGAATCATTTTGAAATTATGATTCTGCTGCCGCAGACAAACATCAGGATGTGGAGCCGGAGGGGGCCCTTTTACTATTATGGCAGACATGCAAACATCAACAGTCTAGTTCAGGACCGAAAGGTAGGCGAGAGGTTCGCTATGATACCGATATGCTCGGTAAATGAACATCAAGACTAATCTATAATCTATCCTATGTTACAAAGTCCTTTCAATCAGGAAAGCTCAACCACGATCTAATATATGTACATCGAGCGGACCTGCCACCTTGCCATATGACCGCAATACAAATCCAAACTGCGGCCAATAGCATGTAAGAAAATCAACACTTTCACGGAACAACAGAGATGCACGCTTAGAGCAGGGAAATTAACCAGAATCTCCCCCACTTCAAACTCAGACATCCGTCTGAACCGTGAAAGACCCGTGCAGCTTGAAATCCCGGGAACTAGCACCGACGTATACCTTGTACTCGCCAGCCGCAACAACCCATTGCTGCTCGACGACATTCCAGTAGGAGATTTCACGACGGCGTAGGTTAAACGTGGCAGTTTTCTGCTCGCCGGTGGCGAGTTCCACGCGCTCGAAGCCACGGAGTTGGCGGAGAGGCTGGTCGGCAGAGTCAGGGAAGCTCAAGTAGAGTTGAGGGATCTCGGCTCCGCTGAGGGAGCCGGTGTTGTTGATGGTTACGGAGATGCTGTTCACGGTGTCCCAGAGGTCGCTGTAGCCGCCAACGGCGAGGTGGCCGGTGGGAGTGGCGGAAATGGTGAGGTTGGAGTAGGAGAAGGAGGTATAGGAGAGACCGTGACCGAAGGGGAAGCGGGTGGTGATGTTGTGGGCATCGAAGTAGCGGTAGTCAAGGTAAACACCTAGGAGTGTTAGTCTTCGTGGTTATGTTGGGATGTGGAGGAAGTTACCTTCGGTGAAGTTGCATTGAGAAGTGTAGCAGAGACCCACGTTGTAGTCACTTTCGTTCTTTGGTATGGAGTAGATCAGACGGCCGGAAGGATTGACATCGCCGTAGAGGACATCCACGATCGAGTTGCCCGATCCTTGGCCCAAGAGAGATCCATACAGTACTGCTGTCACGTTCTCGTGCTCAATCCATTGGTCCAGTAGTCTAGGTCCCACGGTGTTGATCACGACGATGGTGTTATTGCAGTTGTCGGCAACGGTGTTAACCATTGTATCTTGATCAGGGTTGTATAACTCAGTCCGGTCAGCGCCCTCGCCCGCAAGAGTATTCAGGAAAACGATGCAGACATCGGAGTTGCCGGCATAAGTCGCGTAAGAGGGTGATACAGCTGTACTTCCAGCAACTGAGGGAATGAGAGAGGAGCCTGCTGTCGAAGTATAGTTGTCTTTCAAAATCCAGTTCAGAATCGTCCCATCCTCCGTAGCTTTGACGGTCAACGGAACCAAGGGGGTCACGAGGTAAGGGTAAGATGCCTGTCCAGAGCCGAAGCCGGTTGCTAGATGGCCTTGATAAGTGGGACCGGATCCATCAACGGAAGGTCTTGGTTGGGACCGTCGACAATGGCACCGGCGTGAGCACCGAAAATGCTCATTCTGCGGACCGTCTTCAACGGGAGGGCATTGTTCTTGTTCTTCAGCAAAGCCATGGACTGAGCACCATATTTGCGGATTAGCTTGGAATGATTGCCTCTCACGTCAACAAAGGCACTGTCGCCTTGCTCTGCAGGTTGAAGCCCGTTGTCTAGGTTGGATTAATAGTATCCGATCATGTTTCGGATAGTCATGTCGTTCAGACGCGCCTCCGAGAGAGTACCATTTGCGAGAAGAGATTTCACCACAGATGTGGACCAGTAAGTGCTGTCTCCGTAGTCCTCGCCATTGTTGAGCGTCTCGGCAGTTTCGGTGCTCTGGGCCTTGGTATCAGGATATACCAGTCCTGGAAAACCAAGCTCCGTCTTCAAGTGCTTCAGGAGTAGGTCGGAGTTCTGACAAGCAAGCGTATTGTTGACTTTGGTCATCGCGCACATGACCGCACCGAGACCATTCTTGACGGCATCATAGAATGGCCAAAGATAGGTCTCGTGCAGGGTCTTATCGTCCGTCTTGGAGGAATATGGAAGGGGCCCAGACGCAGGATTGGGACTGATACTGTTTGGGTCACTAGTCCGGTTGGTCTCTTGCTCATACAGAAGAAAATGCTATCATTGAGTGTGAGTCACTTATCCTTTTCGTACACACCAAAGCCGGATGGCGAAACATACCTTGGCTCCAGAGATGACACCGGTTTCAACGTAGCCCTTCACAGAAAGGCCAGTGGCCAAACCATTGAGGTAGGGGTCCGGGCCAAATGTCTCGCCGAATCGACCACCCCACGGCGTTCGGCCGATGGGCTGCGAGGTTGGCGCGTTTAAGACCTGGATTTCCTTCTTATAGAATTTAATACCCACTGCTTTGGCCTGCTGATAGTAGGCATCTTGATCCCAGGTCATCGCGATGGCAGAAGCCAAGCTGAACGCTGAGACGTAGTTAAAGTCCTGCAGTCCCATGTCACCATCACCGAAGACCAATGCCGAGAAACTTTCATTTGTAGCAGATGTGACACTGCTGCCAGTCATGATGGCCAATTTCTGCTCAGTGGTTAGGTTTCCCACAAAAGCAGAGGCCTTGTCGTATGCAGATTCCCAATCTCCCAGAGCAACTGCATTGTGTTAGCCGTACGGTGATTCAATTTAGCCCCATTCATCTTGAAAACAGTGGCTGAAAGGGGGCTGATGAGCTTACCGCCATTGTACTTCAGCAATCCCAATGTTGAAGAGTTTGAAGAGGCTGTCGCGAGACCCAACAGGGTCGTCACTGCAAAAAGTGTGAGGTCTCTCATCATAAGGAGCGGCCTCGATGGGAAATAGATGAATAGAAGAGAGGAGACTGGCAGTAGGTTGCTCGGTGAAGATAGTCTGCTAGCAGGTCACCAAGCATGGGGCTGAGCTTAATTAAATAAGGCTCTGCAAGCACCGCCTACATTTTGGATCTAGTTCACGATGCCCATCTTCTACGCATGCCTGCCGGGAGATCAATAGATAGCACCGGAGAACGAAATCCGCTTAGTTAATCAGTGACCCACCGCAGTTGTCGCCCTGTTTCGTATCTCCGAATTTCTCTCGGCTGTGTCCATAGTTTGGTCAGGACCCTGCATGCCGACCCGGATAAGCCGAGCAGTTTCATCAGGGCGAGACCATGAAACACGGATGCATGGCTGGGGTGACGCGTCGGAAGCGTGAATCCCGAAGCACACGGATTCCAGCCCAGCACAGACATCCCTAGATCATGAAGAATTCAATTAGGGGAGTGCGTGCATAATATCCGGTACCGGAAGGCTCCACGGCCACAGTCATGGAGTCCGACGGCGATAACTATCTGCCCGTATATTGCCTCTGGCATAAGCTGATAGCGCAACATCTGTCCTTCGGCGGAATCTTGGCGGGGTTAGCCTGTGGGTAGTCCCTTGGCTCTTCAACCCCTGGTTCCAGGTGCATCCTAAACTCTAAAACTATGCCGAGTGAATGAAGAGTTCGTGAAAAGCACCCCGGACTCTTCCGTCAGACAAACCTCAGTGTCTTCTCCAATAGGAAGGTGAAAGGGCGACAGTGTGGAGAAACGGCGAGCCACGTACACTCGGACAGGCACCAAATGGATATTATTTGTCGGCAACCCCCATGCGGGGGAATCGTCGCCCTGGAACTCACAATTTTTTCCAGAATTCTTGGCTGAGTGCATACCCAATTGGGCAGCCTACCCGAGCAAAATTTCACCTGTATAGACCCATAACAGATCCAGGCTACTTACGCAGCCCCCCTGATGTAGAATATATGTCGTTACACAGGGAATGGGCTGTGAGATCTATAGCAATCTCGAACAAGGTGAATTGAGGCCTGCGACAGTTGGACCCACCAGGCTTCTAACAAGCTCCCCGCTTGCCGGTAAACAATGGTGCCAAGCGCAGCCACCAAACCCAGCCAGGACATTCCGGAGAGCACTGGCCACCCGGGACGGCTCGACTTCAAGTGGCATGTCCAGAGGCTCATAGAAACAATCACGTTCAATGCCCCGTGGTGCCTCCCATCAAATCCCAAGCTTAAAATGGGCGGGACTCTGCAGAATATCAGCTGAAAGGTCCGGCCATTACAAATGCCGATCATGACTTAGCAATTTCGGCACGCTGAATCAAACTGCCCAGTTTGTTATCCAGCTTGTTCCGAGTCAAGAAAGGTACCGAATTATCAGGTTTCAGATGGGTGAGATTGCACAATGGTCGCGACCCTTGATGCAGTCACCGCATGACTGAAAGGCAGCCTTGCCCGCTAACTCGCATCCACCCATTTTAGCCAGACATGTCTAACGATCCAGCGGACAGTCCAGTCAGAACACAATTGTGGACGGATTTTAGTAGACGAGACGAAGGTGTGTGTTTAGTTTAACGACGATAAAGACAATCGCTACCACGTATCCACCTCATGCTGCGACAGCAGTATAGGGACGATAAGCAGACCAGGGATAAGTTGAGTCAGAGCGGCATGTTCCCTCCTGGTTTGCTAATTCCTCGGGGAGAACCATACAAGTTACAACCTGTTCACTCACCATCGCTCTCGGGCCCGACCAACAGCTGTTCCGAGGCAATCTGCTAAGGCTTAGGAGAAACTGACGCACGAGCAGCCCCAGGTGCCACGAGAATGCTCTTCGAGGAAATGTCTATTGTTCTCTCTGCTCACAAGGAGCTTCCTCCCGATCTTGCTGATCCCCCAGTCCATCTCAGAATGGTTGCTCTTGCAATCTTCAACTCCTGTGGAGGGACAGTAGCAAAGCGCTCCTCATCCGGTTCCTCATCCACTCGCAGCCATATCTAGGTCAGTTTTCTGTCTCCTCACGTCCACATCTTCCTTCCATCTGAGCGGCAAAATGCGAATAGCATTCGGGGCTCGCTCGTCACTGGGGCGGGCAACTCTGAGAGGCGACGGGATGGGATACTGGGTATCCCAGCGCACATTCATTATCTCGCTCTTTTCAGGTCTCTGGTGTGCTATGGCTTCGTTTGCAGATGGTAGTACAGCCTCGGTTGTGGAGGTTACCTGAAACGTCCGTGTCTTTTGACAGAATATCAGCCCGTACCCGAAGATCATCTCTTATTCAAAGGGAAATTGCTTACTCGCTATCATCAGGACATGCAAGTGGCAAGTTCCAGGTGAATATAACTTTAACAAAGATATATTGACGGCCATGATGGAAACAAAGTAACGACAAGAAGATTGTTGAATGAGGTTGTTGACGAGTCAAGGATTCATTGCTATGGCAGAAAGACGCGGCGATAAGAGCGCCGGATTCCTTATCGGGCGTGCACCGGATCAATTCGGCCCGTGGAGTGATGCCTTACCGGCAAGGCTCCATCCCAGGCGTGTCCCTCGGCCACCCACGAGCTTCATTCTACATTCCTCTATACTATGAGCCTGCACTCCAGCAACTACAAGTAACATGAGAGGTTCCTTGACGAGCACTCATAGCACATTCTGGCTTTCTTCCCTATACATCACCTTTGACGGTCGATCGCGCGTCGCTTCGTGTTAACACATCAGGCTTCAATATCTTTGGTGGGCCTGGCATGGGCGATAACCAGGACCATCACGATCAGCAAATCTGCGGGAACCATCACGAGCTGCCTACTGCCAGGTGCTCACCTCTACCTAGTAGGCTTTCAGTCTGAGCTAGAGTTCAGGTCAGTCCAAATAGACGATGGAAGCTTTAAAGCCAAGCAGAACCCCTCCCGCGGTGTTGCCATCGTATGCGCGGCGCACGCCATAGCGTCTTTCCACCAGCCATGGGCCCCCGAGCTCTATCTGCCGACCGGGATTATCCACCATAAACTCAAGTCCCTCTATCACAGGCTGATGAGCATCGTCTCGGCCGGGATATGTATAACGCCATCACAGCCAAGAACAGCGTGACAATGACGGGCATCGGCGAGCTCGACGACTATCTTTATCGGCAGCTGCATACATAAAGCACGGCATCCGAAAGCCATGGCAGTCGCATCGGCAATCCGGAGCGACCAGCCTGATCTTGCCGTGCAACGCATTAGTCCATCATGGCAGCGGTCGAACTAGTCACCCAGGGGACGGCCTATGGCCTCCTCATCGGCCTCGGAGTCCTCTTTTGCGGCGTGATTCTGGTTGCGATTCAAGTGCAGAAAGCATACCTATCTGAGGACTCGGGTACCTCGGAGATGTTCATGGTCGCGAATCGGTCGGTCGGTACGGGACTGACAGCCTCCGCGGTGTTTTCATCGTGGATGTGGATCAACGAGACGGTGCTGTCGGCTGCGATGTGCTATCGGTATGGATTGGCAGTTCCACTGGTATGTCTGAAGTCGGCAATACCCTCATGCACAACAAAGGCTAATCCTTGCTCGACAGTGGTGGGGATCCGGGCTCTGCTTTCAGATTGCCTTGATGGCTGCCCTGGGCGTCATGGCCAAGATTCGGGTGCCCCATGCGCATACATCGCTCGAGATCACTCGCATGCGATATGGCTGGGTGGGACACGTTATCTACATGGTCTTGAACCTGACCAACAATGTGTTTGGCTGTGCCTCCATGATCTTGACCGGCTCGCAGCTAATCCATGGTGTGTCGGGTATGAACTTTGTCGCCGCCACCATCTTGATTCCTCTGGGAGGTAAGAGTCACTGATTCGCCGCTCGGAGAACTATTCTAACGGGGTGATATAGTGGTTCTGTATACGGCTGTGGGTGGGCTAAAGGCAACCTTTCTGACGGACTTTCTGCATACCACTGTCGCTTTAATCTTGATCATCTACTTCACCCTCTCGGTTCTCACACACCCTGCGATCGGGGGACTGGCCGGCCTTTACGACAAGGTTGTGGCTACCGCGAGCGAAAATTACATTCCTGGCAATTTTGACGGGTCGCTGCTGACGATGAAGTCAAAAGGGGCGATTATCTGGGGGCTCATCTTGAAATTCGGCAATTTGGCTTTGGTAGTCATGGTACGCACTGGTCCACTCCGTTCTGTGTCACACTTAGCTTATCGGCCACTAGGACACCGCATTCTGGCAAAAGTCTTTTGCCAGTGAAGTCAACTCGACTGTTCCGGCATACAACCTGGCTGCAGTAGCCGTTTTTGGAATTCCCTGGGGCCTGGGCACTGTCATCGGCCTGTCTGCTCGAGCCTTGCATCACACGCCCATCTGGCCCACTTACCCCATTGACATTACAACCACCGAGGTCAGTCAGGGCATGGTGATGCCATACCTAGTAAAGGCTCTTCTTGGGGACTCTGGAATGATCGCATTCTTTGTGCTTTTGTTCATGGCGCTGACCAGTACGGTCTCATCGTCCATGATCGCGGTCAGCAGCATTCTCTCGTTCGATATGTACAAGACGTATGTCAACCCGAAAGCCAGTGACCGCCGACTCCTGGGGGTCAGTCACCTGGCCGTGGTCTTCCATGCCATCTTCATCACGGGAATCTCCATCGCTCTCAATTATGGCGGCGCCAATATGACGTGGATCGGTTACTTCCGACCGATTCTCTCCTGCCCTGGCATCATCCCTCTTGGTTTGACCCTGTTCTGGTCTCGCCAGACACGTCTAGCCGCCATTCTATCGCCGGTGCTGGGTTTCTTTACCGGTCTCGCTATTTGGCTCGCGACAGCCAAGTCGCTCTATGGCGCCGTCAACATGACAACCACCGGAGAGGAAATGCCTGCACTTTACGGCGCCATTGGTTCATTCTTTTCACCCGCCTTGTATTCCGTTCTGATCTCACTGTACCGTCCGTCGACCTTTGATTGGCGGGAATTCCTCCGCATTGAACTTGTCGAACAAACCTCTGATGCGACGAACACCATAACCGAAGAATCCAAGACGGAGGGAGTTTACATTTCCACAGACGCCAGCCCGTCCTCGACACCAAGCCGTCTCAGCTTGGATGACATCCGCCACCCCTTCACGGAAGACACCTTGAAGAACCTCTATCGGTGGTTATGGATCGCGTGGATCGTGTTTGTTGTCTTGGTTCTGATTACCTTCGTGTTGTGGCCGATGCCGCTCTATCGCAACTACATCTTCACCCGGTCATTCTTCTCTGGATGGACCACGGTCGCGATCATCTGGCAATTCTGTGCCTTTTTCGCCGTAGTGGTCTATCCGCTGTACGACGGGCGGTTCGAGATTGCCAAAGGCGTACGGGGAGTGGTGTCCTCGACTCGCGAGTTCATCGGCCGGCGGAGGGAGTAATCGGGATTCTTCTTAATCCAAGTCATTGAAAGGAATCTAATTAACAATGCGGCTTCGTTAACATGTATAGTGGTCTTTAAAAGCCTGATTAGTTACTGTCTTTCTTGGCCTTCCCCGCGAGCTTCTCCATCTGCTCCTTTCTCTTCTTCAGCACCTCCTGTATCTCTTCCACGGTCTCCTTCAGAACGGTCTCAGCCTCCTTGCCCTTCTTCTCCTGCAACGTGCGGAGCGACTGCAACTGGTTCAGAACCTCAGACCCTCCTGGCACCATGTTGGCCCACTTGTCCAGATCGAACGATCCGCTCTGCTGGACTTGGTCGACCTTCTCCTTGACATACTTTTCCACCTGGTCCGTCTTGCCCGAGGACGCCGACTCCTTGACCAGACCCCACAGCTCACTCACATTGCCCTTTTTCAAAGCATCCGCATTATTCTCCACCAACTCCTTGACCTTGGGATTCTTGTCCAGATATTGCTTGCTCTCCTCCAACCCCTTCTGCCACACCTCATCCCCCAACTTCTGCAACTTCTCCGTCTTCTCCTGAATCAGCTTCCGGATCTCATTCACCGACCCCAAACTAAACCCCTTCTTAACCACCTCCACCACCTGCTGCCTCGTCTTATCCACCTCCTCCTTCGCCTGAGGCCCATACGCATCTCCCAACTCCTTCAACTGCTCCCACCCCCCACCCACCTTCTCCTGCAACCACGGATGATTATCCAAAACATCCCCGGCCGCGTCACCCGACAGATCGACCAACTTGGCCAAATGCTTCTGCAGGACATTCAATGCCTGGAACGCTGTATCCGCATTCGAGCCCCCCTTCTTCCCCAACTCCTTCAATTCCCGATACGCATCTCGCACCACGGCATCCACTTCCGGTCCATGCCGGCTCTTGACCTTTTCCAGGTCGCTAAACACGGTATCGATATGTCGGCTCGCTCCGGGGATAAACGCCGCATAGCTCTTCAGCGTATCTCGCAGCCATTCCAGCGCTTTGTCAGGCTCCGGCGCATTCTGGATAATCCCTTGCTTGACCTGATCCGCGTAGGTCTGCGTCTGTTTCACGGTCTTGACGACCGTCCGGGCGCCGGATAGGTGGTACCATGCGTATCCGACCACCAAGGCGACGGCCCCGCCGGTGAGACCGCCCGTGAGGGCGGGATTGCTGCTGCTGCTGCTAGATGATTCGGAGGAGGAGGATTGGAATCGAGCATGGCGGTAGCGACCTTTGGTCTGCCATTGGCGCTGCTGTCTGAGGCAGCGGGTCGCAACGCGGGGGCTTCTGTTCATCATGATGGTAGGTAAGGTGCAGAGTTCTAGATGAGTTATGGTAAGTCAGGTATAATGATCAATTGATATCGTTGCAATGCCTTCCAAGATATTATAGGGTTGTCCTCTCACTGGCTGGTATCCCCCGTCAAGATGACGCACGCCAAGGGTCCCGACGCTAGGCTCTATCCGGCGCGATCAGATCAGATTCATCTGGCTGCCAAGCCTTCTTCCGATTGATGATCTCAACGATGGATGGGAAGAATCATGACTCTGGAGTGTGTTGATGACTTTATAGAAATGAGGCTTACTCGAAATAGTCCGTTCGCTTCCGCTGGTTAGGCCTTCTGATAAGTTCTCAATCAAAAACAGTGATAAGCACATCAACCAACCCTGACATTAATCAAATGGAGAATCAATATTCCCCGTAGTAAGACAAGAACTTGGTTCTGGTTCTGAATCTCAGGTCAACAAGGAACGAGCTAAGCGTGTGCCTGCAGAGAAGGGGTCTCGTCAACAAAACTTGGAAGATCACCACCACCTTGCTCCCATCCCATCTCGGGTCGACTAACACAGGGAAATACGGGGTAGTAAACATGCAAGTAAATATGTCATGATGTCATCATCCGTGAACCCATGCTGGTTCGGGAAAAACAAAAGGGGGGCAAAAATATCCCCCGACCCGGAGTCGAACCGGGGACTCTCTGATTACAATGCGATATTACAGTCAGATGCCATAAACCAACTAGACCATCAGGGGATTTGTGGTGAGGAATACTTACTTAGAGTTTGTTATAGCCAGCGGAAATATAAGCCGTAAATGCAATTGAGTTTGGTTGTGGTGTGTCTGTCGGGTATTTGATCCGCGATGTTAACCTTGGATAAGAGGGGGGAAATGGCTTCGGTCGCAGGAGGGGCCTGGATTATTGAGGTTTTCTTTCTTGGTTGTATTTTGCTTGGAGATAGCTGGGGTCTTGTAACGCTGTGTTCCATTCAACGTGTAACTGTCTGGTTGGTTAAGTAGCCATTCTCGGACTATATATACTTCTACAAACTATCCATCTTGTCTACACCACGTGATGACAATACAACCACTTACATCAAATATCCTCGATTATTCAATGCACCTCGAACAGACTGTGAATATAATCCTTAAATGTCATATTGATAAAGACTTTCTCTTGTGTCCGGCCTTTATCTTCAACATACGTGCACGGGCAAGTCAACAACCCCAGCTCGGGATCTTCCGGGTGCTTCTGTCCCTCAATGTTCTACTCGGCACTGGACAAAGTGCAAGTAAACCACGACTTTCGTTCCCTCACGACATTCTCTGCTAGTAGAAGCTACTTCAATGCCGGGGAGGCCTTAGTCTATGCTTCAGAGCCTCAAGCTTTGATCATGCCACTGTGGGTCTGATATGTCTTGTTAAAGGCTGCGATCGCATTGGTTGGCTGATTCAAACACTCTACCCAGGCCCGAGGCGGTCTTCCCATGCTACGACTTTATCTGCCCGTGCCCCGTGGTGCTGTGTGGACATGCTATTCGCTATCTCTTACCAGACTCATCCATTGGCGCTCATACTATTGCACTCTTAATTGTTCATCTACGCTGCCCTGACGAGAGATTCTGACGGCCATTAAGCCTGGCTTTCCACGCACCTGTGTAATTCATAAGGTGTGGCATTGTCATGAACGAGTACAGTCTCCTTGCTCTGGAGTGCTATCAAGCACGTTCAGAACCTTCAAACCTTCATATAGTCCCAAGCTTTAAAGTGGAGACCACCCCTGGCTAAGGAGCACCAGTGGGCCCAGGCGTCGCCGGAGACATTTGAAAGCCTCCGAGCCCGGTTTGGCGTCTCATATGGGCCCATTTTTGAACCCTGGACCTGCCCCATAGGTTCCTCCAGCGGTCGCATCTTTTGATTTCAATCATCTTGATCTTGAATATGGTCCCCTCAGCCTTATCCTCCCTTTCAAGTCTGCTCTACTGGTTAGGTTTCGACCATAGTCGACATCATTAAGCCCCGCCAGCCACATTTGCTGCAAGTTTGCAAGTGGCAGTTAGTGATTAGCAGATGGGGTTACTACTTGAAATTGTCTGATATACTCGCGATTCTCCCCCTTCCACAGACTTGTGTTCCATCATGAAGATTCAATATGTTCCTTTCATCGTGGGTGCAATTGTTAGCCTGGCCTCCTCAACATGGGCCAGTATTGTGACCTACGAATTCAACATATCCTGGGTCACTGCCAACCCCGATGGCGCATTCCCACGTCCAGTCATTGGCATCAATGACCACTGGCCACTCCCTACCCTGAGAGCTAGCGTGGGTGATACAATCATAGTCAACGTCTGCAACAACCTGGGTAACCAGTCCACCTCGCTACACTTCCACGGACTCTCCATGAAAGGTTCTCCACACATGGACGGCACAGCCCAAGGTTCTCAATGTGGAATTCTCCCCGGTGCATCCTTTCAGTATAATTTCACGGTACATCGTTCCTCGCCCAACTTCAACCGCATCTACTCACAGGAATAGGTCCACGAATCAGGAACCTACTGGTACCATTCTCATTACCATATTCAGTATCCCGATGGCTTGCGCGGTCTTCTTATCATCGATGACCCCAATTCCTCCTACAAGTCGGCCTACGATGCAGAAATCGTCCTTTCGCTATCAGACTGGTATCATCACCAGATGTCGGACCTTTTACCGACGTTTATGAGCGCAAGCAACCGCATGGCGATGGAGCCAATGCCGGATTCTAATTTGATGAATGATAGTCAGAATATCAGTGTTCCTGTCGAACCAAACTCTACTTATCTATTTCGGCTGGCGAATATCGGCGCGTTCATGGGACAGTACTTCTGGATTGAGGGACATAATATGTCAATCGTCGAAGTAGATGGGGTGTATACCCTACCCGCGGAGACGGAAATGGTTTATCTTGCAGCTGGCCAGCGATGCAGCGTGTTGGTCACTACCAGGGAAGAAGCCACGAGAAATTATCCTATTATTGCGGAGAGTGATACGGTTAGTACTAAGCCACCAATAATCATAAATACCACCCTCATATTCCTATCTTGCTAGACAATGGGCCACCACACCAGCGCCTTCGGCTGGCTCGAGTACAACTCCTCCCTCCCGAACCCCGAGCCACAACCAGTCGACCAATACAACATCTTAGACGACATGACCTTAATCCCCTACGACGAGCAGCCCCTCCTACCCTCCCCCTCTACAATCGTAACCCTCAACATGAACATGAAGATTCTCGAAGACGGCATAAACCAGTACCTTCCCCCACCCGCCCTTCAACCCACCACACTAACCCCCACCCAGCTGGACCCTCAACAACATCAGCTATTCACCCCCCGAAACCCCAACCTTACACACAGCCCTCACATCCGGAGACCTAGCAACCCTCCCAGAGACATACACCCCCCAATCCCACCCCATCATCCTCAACCACAACGAAACCGTCCAAATCGTGATCAATAACCGGCACATGGGCCGGCATCCCTTCCATCTCCACGGTCATCAGTTTCAAGCCGTGTATAGATCCGAGGACTGGGCGGGGTCGTTTTTAGATTCTGAAGTCAGCGAGGATGATTACGCGCGGTATCCGATGCGAAGGGATACAATTGTTGTGAATCCGGGAGGGAGTTTAGTTCTTCGCTTTCAGGCTGATAATCCAGGTTTGTGGAATCATCACCGCTATATGGAACTAAGGGGTTAATTGAGAGTAACTGTTAGGAGTCTGGCTCTTCCATTGCCACATGGAATGGCATGCTTACTCTGGATTGGTGGTTACGTTTGTGGAGGCGCCGATGGTGCTGCAACGGCTGATTGGGCTTGATTTGGTACCTGGGCGTCATTTTGATGTGTGTTCCGAGATGGGGGGATCGTTGGTCGCGGATATGCATGAGGATGAGTCGCAGAGTGAGGAGGCTTCTGTAGATGGGTAAGTGCATTTCATGTCCCAATTTATCAAGTGATAAGTGCTAAGAGTTAGTGACAGCGGGTTTACTTCTACCGACGAAACTGGGTACATTGTGTATTTAGTTGTGCTGATCTTGTTATCTATAGCGGGTGGGGTATATTGGTATTCAACACGCCATGATACGGTTCCCTCATATACGGCCCTAGAGGCAAGTCCGGCGATGGTCGAGGTTCAACCCCAGGGAGTTGGGGAGGATGACGAAAGGGTGCCGATGGTGGAGAATATGGCATGATAGTCTGAACACTGTGATCCTTAGCATATCAGAGCATTCCGCCGTATTTATTATCGGAGCTTTAACGAGGATGATAACACATCTAGCTTAGTGCATCACATGCAATTGCATGCGAGCGACCTTAGGGCATTCGCCCTACCTCCACCAACCGGAGGAATGATAGATCTGACCAGGCAAGCGCCTCGTGACATGGCGGATACTGACCGTGAATCCCAGATATCTTCCCCATTCGAGCCCGAGCAAAATGATCCTGCCTTGGCTCATGGCGCCCACTTCCCGCATCAAACCGAGATATATTCCGAGAGAGGTCTTAGATGAGCACAACGAGATCTCCATTCATATTGGACCGCGAACCCCCCGGGGTATCAGCGACTCATCGACAACATCAGTGCCTGCTACCCAGCAGTTGCCAACATGGAGGCTGCGACTCTACCTCGCATGGAATCTGGAGCTTACCAGTGGATCCTGGCCATGCTCACTCGAGTCGGACTAAGGGAAAGGGATCTCAAACCGGGCCATCAACGCCTCCGGTGGAAGAATGTGAGTGCTGAGCAGCCTGTTCATCAAGATAGGACACCTCCCTCCATCTGTTAGCTAGATATCCCCAAGATACTATACACTAGAGTAGAACCACCAAACATGCATCCCCCCACCCCAACCCCCCACCCACTCCACCGTCTCCCGTGCCTCTTTCTCCCATCTCCGACAATACTGCATATCAGCCTGTGGTGGGATTTAATCTTGTCATTGGTATTGAATGGTATTTGGTGACTAGTAGTGACATGCGCTGTTCACATGAGAGGCCTAATGGATTCTTTGTTCATCGGTAAGGTGGTATAATAAATAGCCAGTCGGACAGCCGGATCAATGCGACTGATGCAGATGTCAGGAGATGGGATGTGTATAGTGATCCTGTTCCTGATTGTCTGCCAAGAAGTGTATATTTGGCATGCAGATGTCTTTCTTTGTTCTTCTACAAAAATAATTTTCTGTCATCTAGACTGGTTTAATGTCTCCACCGGTGAGCTGGCCGCCTGGATTGTGGCACAGTCAGGTCACGTGACTACATCGTGGAAGCCGTCTACCATTTGAAGTATCCGGTGTCCTCTGTGGACTGGATTCTCTGTCTCCTATGTCTATTGCTCCGATGATTTCTTTGCATTGACTACAATGGTTGTACAAACATCCTGCGCCACCCAGGCAGCGACAGCAGCAACAGCAGCGACAGCACCTCCGGCAAACCGCCCCAACTGAATGGCCCCCAACCGCTAGATCGCGACAGCCTCCCGGCACACGACCAGGATTAAATCCTCGCTTCCCTGCACCGCCCCTTAAAAGCCCGTTGGGCAGCCCCCGTTTGATTCTCTGAAAAGCAATTCCCTTCTCTGACCTCAGCCAACCCATGGCCGAGTCTTCGGATAACCTTCGTCTCTTGCCGGCGGCCAAGCCTCCAGAGACATGCTCCATTGAGATCTCGTCGGATGATAAAAGCGATGTGTGTCTGCGGGATCTCGCTGCCAATCGCGATTCCTTCCGTAGCAGTCTGGCCAGTACGTTGCCGAAAGCTGCCGATCATGACGATCCCCCCGACGTGCCCATGCCTACGACCAAACCGAAACGGCGATGCTCGTTGGTGTTTGTGACGCTGATCGTCCTGGCCGTCTATACCACCCTCCTGTCCGGTCTGTTCTTTGTCGTCGCTTGTGTCAAGCCCTTCTATGGTCGACTCATTGGCAGCAACGGTGGTCTGAATGCCTCCACCGCGTCCCTGCTTAGTGCCTTGCTGGCCAAAACCATCGAGCTGTCCTATGTCACTGTCTGTGTCGCCTTTCTCGGACAGCTACTCAGCCGTCGCGCCCTCGCCCATGGATCCGAAGGGGTGAGCATTGCCGACATGACCCTGCGCACTTGGATCACGCAGCCAGGCTCCCTGCTGATGCAGTGGGAGACACTCCGCTCCGTCGGCTGGACGACCCTCGGAGCCCTGACCCTCATCGTCGCCCTCGTGGCGATGCTCTACACCACCGCCGCCGAAGCCCTAGGTGCCCCCCTCCCCTTCCCCTCATTGTTCCATCCATCCATCCTGCTAACCTTTATATAGTCTCCCCCAGCCTCGTCATGGGTCCTGTCGAACATCGAGTCCTTCAAGGCAACGTGTCCACCCAATACTCCAACACATACTACCTCGAAGACGAATGTCAAACTCCGATCACCTCCGCCATTGATCCCACCGATTGGAATGCCACCTGTCTCGCCATGGAGATGGCCGGCCGCGCATACCATGATTTCTACCAATACCTCCAAGGCTGGGCGGAGCTTCTCGACGACGGCAACGCCACGTCCTCCGTGCTGGCCTATCGTCCCCAGCCCAACGCCCTCCTGTACGACAACACGACCGTGCAAGGCCGCTGGATCGAAACCACCAACATGACCCAAGTGTCCCAGCAATACGGCCGCATGGTCAACAATGTCACGGCGGCCTATCCCCACAGCGGCATCTTCTCGGCGGCCCGCGACCCGGCCAACCACATCCAACAACCCTCCGACCTCTCGGGTGAAGGCAAATACATCCTGTCCGCCTCGGTGCCCTCCCCCGCCGTCAACATCCTCTGCGCCGGGGCTTCCCACGACGAACTCCTCCCCCTCATCTACACCGAATGGCCCAACCATGACCCCTTCAACGCCTCCACCTGGTACACCTCCGCGCCCACCTACTCCACCACCAACACCACCGCCCTGGACACCCTCTTCTCCTTCTCCCCAACCGTCCCCGCGCCCGTCTTCCCCATCTACCCCCAACCCTACAACACCATCATCAACCCCAAAGTCCCCAACACGACCGCCATCTACCTCCTCGGCGCCGCCCCCCCCACCACCACCCACCAGCCCCCCTATATCCTCTGCTCCATCCGCGGCAAACTCTCCGGCCTCTGCTCCACCCGCTACCAAGTGGACTCCTCGGGCGGCGCCCTCACCTCCCACTGCGAAGACCCCTCCGACCCGCTCCAATACCGCCGTCTCCACCCGACCACCTCGGAATCCACCTACAACATGAACTACAAAAGCGTCGCCTGGGAATGGGCCGACTCGGCCACCCTGGGATCCGGCATCATGGGCGACGACGCCAGCATCGAGCGTCTCCTCATGGAAATGATCCCCCCGTTCGACCCCACCACCAACACCTCCACCCTCGACCCTACCCTCCCGTCCCTGTCCGAAGCCCTGGTCGTCCTCGCCGGCACGACCCTCCTCCTCGGGAGCCAGGATTCGCCCTTCGTCCCGTACTGGAATTATACCCCGTCGAGCTTGGCCACCCCGGCAGTACAGTACTTCAACGCGACGATTCAATCGGCGGGGTATGCGTCGGGACGAACGAGTGATTGGCAGCAGGTGTTTTATGTGATTCTGGCCGTGGTGTTCCTGACGAGTGTGCTTTGTTTGGGGTTTATGGTCCTGCAGGTACGGGGGCAGTTGGTGACGGATTTCACGGAGCCGCCGAATCTGTTTGCCCTGGCGGTGAATAGTCCCGGTGGGGGGGTGTGGACGGGGGAAAGGGAGGGGAGGGCACCGGGACCGAAGTTACGGGAGAGGTGGTATGTCGGGGTGAGGGAGGAGAGTGGGCATTATTTTATTCGGACGCGGAGGGAGATGGAGGTGGAAGATGGGTTTGGAGCTGGTTGAAATGATGCAGCTGGGGTGAGGGGTGCATGGTTGGTGGTATTTTATGGCGTTGGGTAGGTTACCAGAGAAATAATTGATTACAGGTTAGTACTCGAACAGAAGACATGGGCAGATCCATGCTATAAACTTCATCCACAGTCGAAATCCTCCATAATGCCCACCCGACCAAAATACGCACACACGACAAACTATAACGTCCAAGCCACCTACATGTAAACGAATGTCCTTTCCTGGGAGGAATCCAAAAGCGACCAGCAGAGTACAAATGTCCACTCCAACCCAAACATCACGGAATAATCATTCCCACACATCCATTCCCTGCAATGTGATGGCTAGAACCCAACCTCATGAGAGATTACCCCTCGGTGTGTTTCACATCCCCACCGGATTCATCCGTGTTGAAAATAAACATCCTCCTTCAGCCGCAACGATACATCAAGTGGCTTGTACCAAGACTGACCAGTTGCCCATCCCTCCCATCTATGCACTATTCTCAATTCAAGAATTAATCCATCCAGCCTAATCCTCTCGCTTGCCAAGAATTACCATCACTTCAACACAATATACCCTCACTAAACAGCAATCCAAACTTCAACAGAAGTAAATCCCCCCGAAATAGCGTGGCGTAGCGTCTCGGCTATTATTCCCTCAACTACTCTGTATCTAGCAGCCGCACTATCGATGTGGCGGCACCGCTGATTGGTTCAACCAACTCCACTCCCCCATCATCAGCGCCATGATTATCTTTCGAAAAGTGTGAAGTGTGTTGAGGCTCTCGGCAATAGCCAAGACATATAACCACTGGAGATTAGGACGCAGGATGACAGCTCGGAATGGTCGATCTAGTACCTACGGCGCCCGGACGGGGCGTGGCGGGTGGTCGGTTAGAATAAATAGCCCGATATGCTCCAACGGACGGGCGCTGGATTCAGCTCAGCGGAAATATCGGATCCATGTCTTGGATGTCTGTGCGTGTTGCATTCGGGAAGAATTAGCGATGAGGAACGCCTCCGGAAAGGGGTATGTATAAGAAGGCTCTATCCTCAAGATAAACAAGACCAAATTAAGTTGCTATTCATGATGGATATCCCCGGGCCCTCAATCAAACGACCCCCCCCGCGGCCTCATCCTCTGCTGCGACGGCACGGGGAAGGTGATGGCGGGGACTCAGAAGCGGTGGGAAGGGGGGTTTGGACGGGGTTTAGAGGAGAATGTGTGTGAGGGGTATAATTTTCTTGTGAGTGTGGATTTATTCCTATGAAGGGGGATCTGCTTTCCCGATATGATGGATGATTGGTGGGCCGTGTATGAGGTGTATAAGAAGCGAAAGGAGGAAGTGAAAAAAGAGAAACCGATGCCGCCGACGAATGAGTGGAAGGGGACGTTTCATGCCATTACGACGTCTGGGGCGTATGCGCAGCCCAAGCTGGGATTCGATGAGTCGGTCGAAAAGGATGTCGCAGCCTATTTGGCAACAGTGGATCTCGAGGAGTCATCGCCACGAGAGAAACAGCTGCTGGAGTTCCTTCAAGAAGCCGCCGATAAAGCCTGCAGTAGTATCTGGAAGGAGAAATCGCTGACTTACACGTTGCGCGGAAGACCATCCCCAGGCCTGGCAGAGCAAAAGTCGGAACTGATGCGGCAGACTGGGAAACGGACTCGGCAGTTTCTGGCAGATCTGGATGAGGGCAGAATATAGCTTGATGGATTGTCGTAAATTATGCGTTAGAACTGATTAAATCTTTGTTGAGATCGCACTCTTGATCTAGGATCTTGCTATCCACCTGGCACGCTGATCGATGTAGTCTGTCAAGCGATCATTGGCTGAGCTGCATGTGCAGATACCCTCTATGGGTTTATATGCACAGTGCAGTGTTACACCAATCGAGTCAGCAGGCTGCACACTGATCCTCACTGAATAGCTATGCAGAGATCTGCACTCATCAGCTCTGAGACCTACCAATTTCTTCCAATCGAGCAAACAAGCAACCTCAGCAGCGGAGAATTGATAGCTGTCTGCATCAAGGGGTTAGCGGTGTGCATCCCTTGCTTAGATGATCCAGTCTACGTCCTGATGCTGTCAAGCGGTGCACTTAAAGGTGCCCAGTCGATCCCAGGGCAGACCAGTTCACATTGGAGTAATTGTTACTCGCGGCAAGATGGGCACCCCAAGGGTAGAGGAAGTGCCTGAGCATATCCCCGGCACGGAGATCATGCGCGATCGAGAACATCGACTCGCTCATGGCTCCAAATCAGGCATTGTGTGAGTCCCTCCAGATCTCTGCCATCCGGGCTAACAGCGTAGTCTCGTCCCGCAACCATCCGCAGACCCTCACGATCCGCTGAACTGGTCGACCAAGTGGAAATGTACGCATACCTCCTCGATGAGCCAGGCTGACCCGCACAGGGATGGCGATGATCTCCCAGCTTCTTGCTGCGTTCGTGTCATGCTCGTCTGCGTTATCGATGAGCCCGATGTTCCCGTACTTTGCCAAAGAGTTCGACCTCAACGACACCCAGCTTCTGCTCCTCACCGGCGTGTGTATCCTCGCTTTTGCCTATGCCAACTTTGTTATCGTCCCGTGTTCGAACATCTTTGGCCGACGCATGACTTTCTTGGTGTTTACCGCGATCAGCGTCGCCTCGTATATCTGGCAGGCTCGGGCGACATCATACCCCAGTTTGCTGGTAGCCCGGGTATTGAATGGGATCGGGGCTGCAACCAATGAAACCATGCCCGTGCAGATCATCGCAGACATGTTCTTCCTGCACGAGCGCGGACGCTGGATGATGGCCTATTTGTGAGTGAGCCGATGCAGTGGATTCGCAGCTGACCTCTCAGTTCAACCACCTCCTTGGGCGCGTATCTTGGGCCAGTCATCTCAGGCAATATCACCCAACGGTAGTCCCCGATACCACACCTGACCATGACATCTAACTTACATATATCAGCTTCGGCTGGCGCAGCTTCTTCTGGCTCTCCCTGGCTCTCACCTGCTTCAACTTTTTCACCATCCTGCTCTGCTACCCGGAGACGAAATTCCAACGAGACCAGTGGCAACTCCGCCAGGCCTGCGACCTCTCCCTCCCATCCAAACCACCCACCCCAAATCCCACTCACCCACCCCCCCCTCCCACCCCCCAACACAGCACCCCCTCCCGCGCCCAATTCACCCTCTACCACCCCCCCGACCCGCACTACAAAACCCTCCTCCTCCGGGACCTCCTCACCCCCCTCCGCCTCAGCACCTACCCCATCATCCTCTGGACCAGCCTCACCGTCTCCGGCACCGGCAACCTCATCCTCCTCTGGAACCTGACCGAATCCACCATCTTCAATGCCCCGCCCTACAACTTCACCCCCAGCCAAGTCGGCTACAGCAACTTCTCCTTCGTGATCGGGGTCCTCTTCGGCCTGCTCACCGCCGGCCCCCTCTCCGACCACCTCACCATCACCCTCACAACCCGCAACCGCGGCATCTACGAAGCCGAAATGCGTCTCCTCGCTCTCCTCCCCTTCCTCGTCATCCTCATCGTCTCCGTCCTCATCGGTGCGATCGCCATAGCGCGTCTCTGGCCCTGGCCTGTCATTCTGGTCATCGGGTACGGACTCAGTGGGTTATTTAGTGCCGCAATCGCGAGTATTGTGGTGGCGTATGCGGTGGACTGTTATAAGCCCGTGGCGGGGGAGATTATGGTGGTGGTGACGGTGGTGAGGAATACGTGTGGGTTTGGGATGAGTTGGTGGGTGCCGCGGTTGGTGGCGAGGAGGGGGTTTTTTGTGGCGGCCATGGTGCAGTTTGCGGTGACGGTGGGGCCGTTGGTACTTGGGGGGGGGG